CCATGAACAAGTTGATTATGGTAATTATCACGACCATGAACAAGTTGATTATGGTAATTATCACGACCATGAACAAGTTGATTATGGTAATTATCACGACCATGAACAAGTTGATTATGGTAATTATCACGACCATGAACAAGTTGATTATGGTAATTATCACGACCATGAACAAGTTGATTATGGTAATTATCACGACCATGAACAAGTTGATTATGGTAATTATCACGACCATGAACAAGATTATGATAATGATCACAACCATGAGCAACGAGATGAAGAATTGATAGGTTCAGCTGAACAAGCGGAGACAAACCAGATTAATACTTCTAATACTCCAACTCGAACAAGCAGATGTTCGTCAAGTCCACCGTCTTCACGTAAATAGAATATGTTGCAAGGGTTTATCAAAGAATTGTTCACGCCTATTAATGGGGAATTAGTTGAAACCAACAATAACAATGATGCTGAGGAGGGTTCGATACCATTAACTCAGTTGTTTCGAAAAGCCTGTCGTGCAGAAACGCAGATGATTAATGTTAACCATGAAGAAATTTTGTGCTGGTATCATTATGGCAAAGGATACATGGACCGGGTAGAAGATATTATGAATTTTCAGGGATGTGGGGAAAATATAGCCAGGAAAGATGTCTATAACGAAATCATGAACCATCTTCCGGGTTTTAATAGAAACAATGTTCGAAATAAGACACAAGGTGCCTTAAAAATATACAATTTATTTAAAAAGATAGGAATTAACAGAATTAAGTGGATTAGGTCGTATAATGCAAGTTTCATTTCGAAGCTCACCACTACGCAAATTCAGACAATTGAAGATTATTATGTTAATATATGATGTTATTTTTCTTCTGTATTTTTCAATATGTATTACTTATCAATTCTATATTTAATGTCGCCTGTATATCAGCTTTATAAAATAAAAATAAAAAAAAATAGCGTATCAAGAATTATTTTTCGTGGTGTACATTGGAAAAATAAAATTTATTTGCTATAAGGTTAGATAATTGATACTATTAACTTCCATATATCGGAAATAATGCATGTGTATTTAATTTTTTATCTTGATTAGTGAATTGTGAATTTTCAGGTTGTATTTTTTATCCTTCGCTTTGTTGTAATTCTATCTCCTGCAAATTTAGAGAATCAGACCTTAACCAAATTGTGATTTCATTACTGGTTGGCATATTTTTCACATCATCTAAAGTTTTACCTCTATTCAATAAGTAGGGTTGTTAATAGAACATAACGGGTTGGGTGGGTTCATATTATAGTGGAGCAAGGATTAACCCAACCCAACCCGGGTTAAATATAGTTAAATGTACTGGGTTAATACTCCATGGGTTGCTCCG